CAAACAAAACATCATCCTCCCTCCTCTTTTTGATTATTCTGCCTCTCTCGGCACCTCGTATAATGAATATCACAGCATCGACGCGTTTGTCACAACCGCTGAGGCGATCAACAACTGGGGTGAGTCCTCGGTGTGTGTGTGTGTGTGTGTGTGTGTGTGTGTGTGTGTGTGTGTGTGTGTGTGTGTGTGTGTGTGTGTGTGTGTGTGTGTGTGTGTGTGTGTGTGTGTGTGTGTGTGTGTCGTGCGCATCTTTCTCCTCACCAACAAGCACACGATAGGAGGCTACGGTGGCCGACTTTGACAAGACCCTGCCAACCCTCGCTTCAACAGGTGAGGACATTCATGTGTGCGTTCATGTTTGTTTGTGCTGCGCATCCTTGCTTGTGTTCCAGAACACTTGCAGTTCGAAAAGCGTGGTTTCTTCACTCACTCCAAAACACGCACACACACACGCACACACACACGCACACACACACGCAGTTGCCACGACGGCTGTGCTGCAAGCTGGCCGCTTGTCCCTTGACCATGCGTGCCCTGTCGACATCGCGCACGACCAGGACACCAACACCTTCTCCCTCGCGCTCGCCACAAACGAGGAGGAGTGAAGGAAGGAGTGGCGATTCAGTCTTACGACTGTTTGTGCTTTTGTGTCGTGTACCGCTTTTTGTTGAAGATTGCTGTTAAAGAGAGTTCTCGACAGCTTGAATGAAATTTCCACACGCGCGCGTTTCTCTGCCAGCAAAGCGAAAGAACAGGAAAAGGGAAGCCATTTTGCTCTGCACAACAACAAACTGTTGGTGTTTGAGTGTTGTGTCCTGAGGAGAAAGACTGACGTCCTGTCCTGCGGAGAGGAAAGCGAGTTGGCTACCCTCTTTGCCTGCCTCTTCGCCTGCCAGGATGAGCGCACCAAAGCCGGTGCAGAAGAAGGCGTCCCAACGCAGCCGTCGCAAGAAGGTGTTCATTTCGCTGCGGTTCGGAGAGGCTGGCCATGCAGGCAAGCTGCTCAAGCGCGAGTTGGAGCAGGTGCACGGCCTGGACGTGTTCCTGTGTGATGTTGAGCCTGGTGGCAACATGGGAAAGGAAATCATCACGAACCTTGCGGCCTGTGACTTGGCTGTCATCATGGGCACCAAGACGTACGGCAAGGAGACGCCATCCACCTTCAGCACGTTTCAAGAACTTGATTTCATCAAAAATGAGCGCAAGCCATTCTTCTTCATCAAGATGTGCGAGCGGCTTGAAGAGTCGTTTGCGCGATTCCACCTCCCCGATTCCATCTCCTACTTTCCATGGATACCTGCTTCACGCGATCCCGAGTCCATGTCCCTGCCGCCTGACCTCGCCCCCGCCATCGTAGACAAGCTCAGCCACATCAGCACCTCTAGCGGCGCGAAGGGCGGCAAAGGCGGCCCCTCCGTCATCACACGGCAGCTCCCAACCACGCTGGACGCTGGCCTGACACAGTGGCTGCAGCGTTACAACATGTTGTCCTCCATGGGGCTGGTGCTTGAGAAACTCCACATCACAAGTCTTCACAAATTGGAGCAGGCAACAGAGGCCATGCGGAATCCGAGAAAGCGTGCACTTGCTAAGCGGCAGCAGCAGAAGCAGGGAAAGAAGGGAGGAGGGCAGGGAAGCGAACCCAAGCCAACAAAGACCGTGCGACAGTTGTATGAGGGAATACTGATGAGGGAGAAGCAGCTGCAGCCAGCAGAGATTGCCAAGTTCCGGCGAGCGTGCAAGGCGAAGACGTGGCGCAACAAAGAGATGGGCAGTGAGCGACATGGAACGTTGGAAGGCACAGAAGAGGTGCACGAACAGGGAGATGAGAAGCAGGAAGAGGGACGTGAGGGGAGCCAAGAAGAACAGGAGGAGACACAGTCGCACCAGCATCAAGCGAGCGTTGAGTGCCCGCCTGTGCGAAAGGGTGTGGGAGACGAAACCCTGTTTCGGGAGTGCCTGCAGAGGGTGAGTGGTAAGAACGCAAGAAACAAGATCCTCAGCATTTGGAACAACACGTGTGGCTCGAAAGTTAAGTGAGTATGGACGTGTTACAAGGATATGCACCTGCAATTCATGAGTAGGGTCCTGGCGGTTTAATGTATCTGGCGTAAATAGAAGTGTGTGCACGATGCTTTGATGGATTGCCTGATGCGATGTGGCATTCACTCACATCAACACTTTGCACACACACACACATGCATGCATGTATGCGAATGAACACACATACGCACACATGATAACCACAACACATGCACCATGCAGCCTTGCAGACAACGATCTTGGACCTGAAGGGGGAAAGGCGATTGGGGAGGCACTGAAGGTGAACACGACGCTGACATCGCTCGAGTGAGTTGTGCTGTTGTGGCTGTGGCCCTGGGTGTGCATATGTGCGGATTCGTGTGCACGTGCACGTGTGTTTGTGTGGGTGGCAGTGGGCACATTGTTGTGTTGATGTGGTGTTGATGTGTCTGGGTGAGACAGTGATGTGGTGTGTTGACAAGCGTGAGACGATACGACACACCTGTTTTGTTTTATGTGTGCGTGTGTGTATGTGAGTGTATGTGAGTGCATGTGGTCTAATTGATTTGCACTTGTGGTTCAGTGGCATGGTGATCGTGATAGTGAAAGGGGATGTGGGTGTGTGGATGTAAGTTTTGACCTAAATAGGGGTTGGTTGATTTTCCCTGCCAAGATGTTTTCCCCTTTTGGGGGGGGGGGGGGTTGTGTGTTGTGGAGTAACATAACGTAATTTGTGGATGTGACATGGTGGTAGTTGTGTGTTTTGTGCAGGTGTGTTTTGGATAGGGATGTGGTGCACGATGCTTTGATGGATTGCCTGATGCGATGTGGCATTCACTCACATCAACGCTTTGCACACACACACACACATGCACACACATGCATGCATGTATGCGAATGCACACACATACACACACATGATAACCACAACACATGCACCATGCAGCCTTCGGAACAACGATCTTGGACCTGAAGGGGGAAAGGCGATTGGGGAGGCACTGAAGGTGAACACGACGCTGACATCGCTGGAGTGAGTTGTGTTGCTGTGGCCGTGGCCCTGGGTGTGCATATGTGCGGATTCGTGTGCACGTGCACGTGTGTTTGTGTGGGTGGCAGTGGGCACATTGTTGTGTTGATGTGGTGTTGATGTGTCTGGGTGAGACAGTGATGTGGTGTGTTGACAAGCGTGAGACGATACGACACACCTGTTTTGTTTTATGTGTGCGTGTGTGTATGTGAGTGTATGTGAGTGTGCATGTGGTGTAATTGATTTGCACTTGTGGTTCAGTGGCATGGTGATCATGATAGTGAAAGGGGATGTGGGTGTGTGGATGTGAGTGTTGAGCTAGATAGAGGTTGGTTGATGTTGCCTGACAAGATGTTGTCACACTATTGGGGGGGGGGGTTGTGGAGTAACGTAATTTGTGAATGTGACATGGTGGTAGTTGTGTGTTTTGTGCAGGTGAGTTTTGGACAGGGATGTGGTGCACGATGCTTTGATGGATTGCCTGATGCGATGTGGCATTCACTCACATCAACGCTTTGCACACACACATACACACATGCACACACATGCATGCATGTATGCGAATGAACACACATACGCACACATGATAATCACAACACGTGCACCATGCAGCCTTTACAGCAACAATCTTAGACCTGAAGGGGGAAAGGCGATTGGGGAGGCACTGAAGGTGAACACGACGCTGACATCGCTGGAGTGAGTTGTGTTGCTGTGGCCGTGGCCCTGGGTGTGCATATGTGCGGATTCGTGTGCACGTGCACGTGTGTTTGTGTGGGTGGCAGTGGGCACATTGTTGTGTTGATGTGGTGTTGATGTGTCTGGGTGAGACAGTGATGTGGTGTGTTGACAAGCGTGAGACGATACAACACACCTGTTTTGTTTTTATATATGTGTGTGTGTATGTGTGTGTGTGTGTGTGAGTGCATGTGGTCTCATTGATTTGCACTTGTGGTTCAGTGGCATGGTGATCATGATAGTGAAAGGGGGTGTGGGTGTGTGGATGTGAGTGTTGAGCTAGATAGAGGTTGGTTGATGTTGGTTGACAAGATGTTGTCACACTATGGGGGTTGTGTGTTGTGGAGTAACATAACGTAATTTGTGAATGTGACATGGTGGTAGTTGTGTGTTTTGTGCAGGTGAGTTTTGGACAGGGATGTTGTGCACGATGCCTTGATGGATTGTCTGATGCGATGTGACATTCACTCACATCAACACTTTACACACACACACACACACATGCACACACATGCATGCATGTATGCGAATGAACACACATACACACACATGATAACCACAAAACATGCACCATGCAGCCTTGACGGCAACGATCTTGGACCTGAAGGGGGAAAGGCGATTGGGGAGGCACTGAAGGTGAACACGACGCTGACATCGCTCTCGTGAGTTGTGTTGTTGTGGCCGTGACCCTGAGCGTGCATATGTGCCAATTCGTGTGCACGTGCACGTGTGTTTGTGTGGGTGGCAGTGGGCACATTGCTGTGTTGATGTGGTGTTGATGTGTCTGGGTGAGACAGTGATGTGGTGTGTTGACAAGCGTGAGACGATACGACACACCTGTTTTGTTTTATGTGTGTGTGTGTGTGTGTGTGAGTGTATGTGAGTGTGCATGTGCTGTAATTAATTTGCGCTTTTGCTTCAGTGGCTTGGCGATCTTTTTATTCAATGGTTTTCTTGCCTTTTTTTTTTTTTTTTTTTTTTTTTTTTTTTTTTTTCTCTCCCCTCCTACCCGCTGTCGTTCCCCTTTTTTGTTTCCCTTCCCGCTA